TAGTGTAATACTGTCTAAATAGTTATCCCCAAAGCAAGAGAATATATTTGGAACAGAACTTGAAAACGCACATGTTTTTATGTAAAATACTCACTTTCTTTTAACACTTTAATATGTTTTTGCAATATTTTAAACTAGATAGCTTACATTTCTTTTTTTTTGGAGAGGTTTTTGCTATAGGGCGCATGCGCTCTCCAGAAAGACAGAGAGAGACAGAGACAGAAAGTGAGAAATCACTCCCCAGGGGGGATGGCCATGCCACAATGCCGTCTCCTCCATTATCCTCTCAGGATCTTGGGCACGCACGCACATGTGCCTGGTGTGAGTTTAAGCCACTGGGTCCGGGACTCAAACCGCGGTCAGCTACTTGGGAGTTTAGTGACGTGGCCATTATGCTAACTGCTAGTCCCAATAGCTTACATTTCTATAAGTTGGAAAATTTGACTCTTCAGTGCTGAGTTAACATATACTTAATATGTGCAATAAAATAGGTTTATATGAGTTGTTATAGGTTTTTTTTTTTAATAAAGAATTATTTTATTGAACTTTATTTATTTATTTTAATTTGACCAGAGTGGAGAGAGTGGAAAGTGAGAAAGCAAGCCACCAGGTCTGGGACTTGAACTGTTGTCAGCCATGTGGGAGTCTAGCACCCTTAACCACCATACCACCTGCTGGCCCCAAGTTGTTATAGTTGTTATAAAACTTGCTGAGGTAGGTACCAGTAGAGTCCAGTGATAAAAAGAAATACATTTTCTACATTTTTGTCTTTTATGGAAAGCCCTGGCATGGGCCACATGTTTGCTTCAAATGAAATGGCTTTATGTTTGGCATTTTCTACTTTTTTAATTTTAATTTTTTGGTTAGAGGTCTTGTGTTCTCATCAAGGAGAGAAAGAGAAAGGCAGGCAGGCAGACAGACAGACAAAGCGCCACCTTGGAGTAGGGCATGATGACACTGCAATCCCTTCTTCATTTCTCCATCATGTTGGGATTTGGGGTACCCACGTGCCTGGCATGTTTCTTAAGCTGCTGGGGCCAGGATTAGAACTGTGTATCCTTTGCATGGATCTATGGTCCCCTGGCATTTTCTACTTTTTTTTTTTTTTTTTTTAAATTTAAATTTTTGCCATAAGGTGTGTGCTTGCCAGAGACAGAGAAAGGGAAAGTGAGAAATTACCCCAAGAGGTAATGACCATGCTGTAATCTCTTCTGTATTCTCCTCTTGGGATTTTAGGCATGCACACACTCAAGCCTGGTATGATTTTCAAACAGCAGATTCTGGGACTCGAATCACTGTCAGCCACATGAGAATCCAGTACCTAATGCTACTTGTTAAGTGTAATTAATAAGAGTGGGGCCTGGGAACTGTGGTGCGCAGGTAGTGAACTACTTGGGAGACTGGAAGCCTATGGAAGTCTCGGGTTTGCTTGTGTGTACCGCTGATCCTAGCTGATTGGGTAGCTGGGGGAGGAAGATGGTGACAGTAAGACCTTGTCAAAAATATCTATTTTTGTTTTTCTCTTCCTCTCCCTCCACAAAAGTGGAAAAAATGAAGAGTCATAGTGACGTGATTATCAAGAATGCATGCTTAGGTCCTTTCCAATTAAAGTCAATTTTATGATTCCAAATTTATCTTTTTTTCAGGGCCATACTTGAGATTAATAGTCACATGTATAGGTGATTTCAGATTTTTGATTTGGTTAAGAATCTTTATACTTGTTATAAAAAGATTTAAGCTAGAAAACGTGGTATGATCTTACATGTGCTCAACAACTATATAGTTGAGTCAGAATTCATTTGACAAAGGCCATCCTGACATAGGATTATTTTTAAGTGCTTTTATAAAAAGCATGGAATTTTGTCAGAAACTGGGAAGACCTGTTGTCATTTGGTTTAATTGATTCCTTCCTTTAAGGTCAAGAAAGAAGAATGCATATGGGCACTGTAGTCTTCTGAAGTTGATTTGAAGAGCTTTTGAGTATTTCTTCTGGAATATGAATGGTTCATTTTTGTTGTTGTTGTTTTTAGAGTTAATTTTATTTAACTTTTATTTACTGTTGTTATTTTCTCATTTGAGCAGAGAGAGAGAGAGAGGGAGAGAAAAAGTGGAAGTAAGCCACCAGGTCCGGGACTCGAACTGTGGTCAGCCGTGTGTGAGTCCAGCTCTCTCAACCACCTTGCTACCTGCCAGCCCCATAATGTTTTCAATAATCATTTTCAGCTAAAATTCTCTTTTCTCCTGAAATAAATATTTTTTTCCATTTAATTATCCACTTAGTTTTGGAGATAACTGTGAAGGTGTAAGTTGACTGAACTCTATAAATGAGGTTGGGTTTTTTTACTTCCAGAAGAGTTATTTTTACACCCACAAGGGTATTTTGTGAGTCTGGAAGCTTGCAAGGGACTTAATGATTGTTTTTCTTTTACAACTTTTTGTGGAAGTATGGTTTACTCCTTACTGCTGTGGTGAAGATATTAGCTAACTTTCATTTCATCATGGTTTCTGTGTTTCAGGCCATGTTGCAAAATGTGAGATTCAGAAATATTTTAGATAGTAGTGGTTATCTTATATACCCCTTGGCTTAGGTTTTTCTTAAATAATATTCTTTTAAACCAAATTTTTCCCTTTTCCCGGAAAACTATCAGAAAGTAATTGTTATGACACATTTAGCAATTATCTTAGATTTGTAAAATTCTCATAGAAGATTCAGATACAATAATATAAGATAATTGCTAACTGTAAAAATTACTTTCTCAGGACTGACTCTGTGACCTAGAGCTGAATCCCACATAGCCAACCACACACACATTTTGAATTCTGGATCCAGCAGCTTGAAAATCATCTCAGGCCTGTGTGCACGCATACCCAAACCCTGCCAGCATGTTGAATGGAGGAGATAGGATTGTGGTGCAGGGTGCTTGCTTTCCTGACATGATTTTGAAGCTGCCAGGGCCAGACTTGAACTGTGCAGTTGGCCACATGGGGTGGAATCCAGCACCTTAACAGTGCCACGTGGCTGGTCCTCTGACAAATTTATTTTTAAGTTTTTTTTTTTTTTTTAAGTTTTCTTTAGGGTGTGTGTGTGTGCGTTTGTGTGTGTGTGTGAGAGAGAGAGAGAGAGAGAGAGAAATCACCCCCCATGGGGAATGGCAAAACTGCATTTTCCTCTTGGGATTTTGAGCACATGTGCATATGCACCTAGCATATTTTTCAGGCCACCAGGTCCAGGACTCAAACCGTGCTTTAACCTCCACATCACCTGCTGACCTCCAATTATTTTTAAAATTACTTTAAAAATTTTAGTTAAATTAGATTTTTGGGGACCAACAAATGGCATAATGGTTACATTGTTGGACTCCCATATAGTGGACCATGGTTTGAGTCCCAAACCCAGCAGCTTACAACTCAGACTGAGAGCCTGTAAATACATGTCCAAAAGTCCCGAGAGGAGAATGGAAGAGAAAAGATTGCATTGTGGCCGTCCTCCTAGAGAGTGATTTCTCCCTTTCTGTCCCTCCGGCAAGCACATGTGCCCTATAGCAAAAATCTCAACAATTTTTTTTTTTTAGACTTTTTTCCTTACCTGTCTCATGAAAATGATTTTTGTTGATTTGAGAAATTCTGATTTTCTAGTTCTAGCATACATTGTTGGAGAGCATGTATCTAAACTGCTGCTTTGTTTGACTGATTAATAACTTTCTTTTAAAAAATTTTTTTGCTAGAGGGTGCATGCATCCCAGAGAGAGACAGAGTGCAAGAGTGAGAGAAAAAGTGAGAAAGCATCTCCATGGGGGTTGATCACGCTGCAATCCTTCATTTCTCCTCTCAGGATTTTGGGCATACATAGCTGCACGCACATACTCCCAGTGTGTTTTTCAAAGCACTGGGTCCAGGACTTGAGTATGCTTGTTCTTGGCCACGTGGGAACCAGCTGCCCCAAAGAGCACACCACCAGCTGACCCTATAGCTTTCTTCATGAGTTCTTTTTATGGTTTCCCGATGTACTATAAATCCTTGGAAGTCATCTTTTATCAAATACATAATTCATAGACTGGTAGAAATGCTTTTTAAAATATAGGAACCTTATGCCTTTATGTTGCCTTTCAAGTCTCATTGAGTTATCTGTATTTCCAGAACCTCATTTTCTATTTGTCAGAGCTCTTTGGTCCTCATTGAAGCATTTTAAGTAATTCTGCTTAATTTGAAGTTTTGTATAGGATTAACTAGCAGCCCCAATCTGCTTTTATTGCTTGGCAGCTAATGAATCCTTAGGCTCCTATCTGGGTGTGTGCTGGCTTTGTTGAGGGCCTGCTCAGTGATTTCAGTTGATGTGGCAGTTATAGAAATGGTGTAGAAGTGAGTCCTGGAGTAATGCTGCACCGTTAAAGGAAAAAAAGGGGGAAGTGCTTTAAGGAGCCACTGTGAAATATAATGAAGGACTTAGAGCATGTTAGTGAAAGGGTTGCCAGGCCATAGCCTGCCTCATATTCATCACATAGACATGGAAATATCTTTTGAAAAGACTATGTAAAGGCTTGTTCTGCTACTGCTTTGTGAAACAGAAGACTGGAATTAGATGCTTAAATGGAAAATGTTCTCTTGTTGCAGCCTCTTTGAAATGTGCTGCTAGTGGGAGCTGCAGCTTCCTCCTGCTGACTCTGAGCCCCAGGCTTCGGTTGAGATGGTCCTTTGAGAAATGTGGAGCTTAGTCCAAGCCTGGATTTCAGTGGGTAGCACCTGGCATCTGTGGCTAGAAAGTCCTATGAAGTGTAAGTGCTTTATTCTCTCTTTGTAAAGAATCCCTTTTCTTGATTCTCTTCTTCTCTTTCTTCTTTCTGTAGCTTAGGAAAGGGGAAGAACAGGGAGCAATGCACTGCAATGTCCAGGGTATCAGGGTTTGTTGCATTTTCTTTAGGACTCAGTGACCAAAACAAGATTACTTGTTAGTGTTTGGATGTTAACAATTCTTTTCTTTTCCCCTTTTCTTTTAAAAAATGGGGCCCCTCAGACCCCCAAGGTGTCAGAGATCCTGGGAGGCACTGTGTCCTCATGGGTAATTGCAGCCCAGTGCTGGACATCGTGGGAGTGGATGTCAGCAATTCTTAAACCCTCCTAGAATTCAAAATAAAGTGGCAAATGACTCCTGTGGTATTGACAGTATCATTATGGATGAATTTTCATTGACAGTTTACTTAGCTTGTACTACTTAAGTTTGATGAGTTTATTTAGAGTTACTCTTCTATTTAGTTATTATTCCAAGAGACAAAATATTTGTAAAGGGAGACACATTTGACCAGAGGGGAAGGCAACAGAATCAGGATAAATAAAGGTGCTTGAAATGAGAAGATAGCTCCTTTTTTACTTTGTATTCTACTTGTTACATTTGCACAGGAGTAACTTGAGAATTTTTCTAAGACTAGTTGTCCATAGAATTGTTTGAGGAAATATATATATTTGCCATTTATATTTTAGTTTAGTTTTCTTTTCTTTTTTTTTTTTTTTTTAAGAATTATTTATTTCTGTTTAAAATGTATTTTACTATAGGGCACATGTTCTTTTACTGGAGAAAGGGGGAGAGAGAGAAAGCAAGCCTCCAGGTCCAAGACTCAAACCGTGGTTAGCCATGTAGGAGCCTCAACCACCATGCCACCTACTGGTCTCATATTTTAATTTATTTATTTTTTTTAAAAACTCCAAAACTACTAGGTTATCAGGAAAGTCAGAACATATTTTTCTATGCAAAAATGTATCATGACTTTCCTGACAACTTAATAGATAGTAGCATAATAAGCATTAAAAGATACAAATTTTATAGTTAGTTTAGTATAATCGTGGTTCTTGTTTTTCTTTCCTTTTTTAATACTAGTATTGTTTTAAAGTAAGCTCATAGTCTAGCAGATGGTGTGGTGGTTAAGTCGCTGGATCCTACATGGTCAACTGTGTTGAAATCCTGGACCTGTTTGTTTGAAAGACACCTCAGGTATGTGTGCATTCCTAAAATCCTGAGCGGGGGTCAATTTCTCACTTTCTCTCTT